AAAAAAATTTGAAAATTTCAACAAAGTTTTAAACTTTTTAATCACATTTATATGTAGAGCAATGCTTGGTGTGTAGTTTTATAGCATAAATATATCATTCTCACTCGAAAAATATCATAATTGTGTTTTTTAATAATTTTGGAAACATTTCAAGTAGAATGTTCATATTTTTCCATTTTGGTGCCTATGTCTGCATACGGCGGAGGGTAGGGAAAATCCGGGAAACGCAAACGAGCGAGCATATAAAGCGGGTAAACCAAACGGGGGCGATGTGAAGTAGGTAAAAGCTGAGTGGACAAAGGGGAAAAACGAGACATCAAAGGCAAACAATTTACTCAGGCAGGCAAACGAAGTAACGTAATGGTAAGTACATATATACGGTGGACGGCTGCTTTGAAATTCAACGCCAACGCAGCGCCAAAGTTGTATGTGAACCGGCCTCTATTCTTTGTTTACGCAAATACATATCCATACATACATACATACATATGTACATATGTCCTTGAACAACAGGCCACAAATAAATTTTTTCTCCAAGGATTATATTTCATTCAGGTATACAGCATAACTGCTACAAGTAGCAAACTATTTTGGGGTGCTAACAAGTGCTTACTTGTTTTTTGTTTCTGCGGCACAAACGATTATCTATACTATCTTCGTTACTTACTTTTCTCTGTAAAGACAAAATACATGCATATGTACATACATACATAAATACATACATATGTATGTACATACATATATAAATATGCATGTTATGTATGTATATAACTCTAAAAAATATCTCATTCCATAATCTGTGCTTACGTATGTAATAAATTTTATTTGTTGTTTTAAAAGCTGCCCTAATATCGAGCCCTAACCGCCAAAATAACGTAAGCGACATTTTTTTCAAAATTTTCTTTTTGATGCAGAAATATTCCTAGAGCATCTAGGTACATTTCTGCATCAAAAATAAAATTTTGAAAAAAATGTCGCTTACGTTATTTTGGCGGTTAGGGCTCGATATAATATTCACATATTTATATGCATATGTACATATGTACATACAATTATTAACATACTTTCGTACATAATCTATTGACATACATTCCCACATTTTTATGCACAAAAATGCATGTGTTGTATAGTGCACTCGGAGCGCTCGCTCCTCGCTCACTCGTCTTACCTAGCAGAGCGAGTATGCAGACAGCTACTCGCCTCGTACTGCGAGCGAGGCAACACACAACAGCCTCGCTCGTTTAATAGGAGCGCGAGGAAACAAGCAGCGCTCGCTCGTTTGGCGAGCGAGGCAAACTTCTCGTGCCTCGCCTCATTGCTGCTACGAGTACGAGCTGCGAGCGCCTCGTTGTCTGCGAGGCATTGAGTAGGAGTTTGCTCGCTCGCTCGCTCGAACTCCGAGTTTTTGCCCACCCTGATCGCCATGTTAAATTCGCCAGTTGCTTGCATGCAAAAGAGATTTATCGCGAACCAGTACTTGGTCTAAATGTACTAGAAGCGCACCAGTTCAGAACTAGAGATTTTTCCCACAAGGTACATACATGCGCACACACATCTGTATGCACGTTTGCAAGTCTATGAAGTCATGAAATCTTTTTCAAAGTTAAACGTCAAATAGCGTTGATTGGCATAGGGAAATGTTGAAGAGGATGCTTAGCGGTCGAATGAAAGATGAGAATGCAGACGACGAAGCAAATTGCTGTGGATTAAAAAAAGCTAATAGCGTAGAGGTAAAGAGGTATGCAGATGCCATGTGAAGCTCATCGCCCAATTACAGATTTGCTAATAGAAATCACAATTTTCTCTCACACAAACACAGGCACTCACATGCTACATATGTATATCCATATGTATATCAATCTGCATACATATGTATGTTAATATGCATCCTCAAATTTGTTTGTTTACCGTTTTTTTGTGCCGCGATTCAGTGGTATGTATTGCTCGCGCTTCACACTCCACCACTTTTAATTGAACTTTTCTACAGACCGCCATGAGTGCTTACTTTTTCATACATTGTACACACTTACAAATGCAAATTAATATGTATGTACATATGCACTAGGTGTGCATGTGCACTCTTGTTTGCAAAGGCAAATCATCAACAGTGTGTAAACACTCTTCACAAATGGTGTGAAATGCTATTAAAGCTTCGTGTGATTTTTTTTTTCGCAAGGATTCATTCTCTCATTTATTTTTTTCCGCATTGCCCTTTAAACTTGATTTGCATTTTTATGCGCGCCGTCCTTCAAATCTTCGATGGCGTTTGTTTGTGTGTATGTATATGTGTGTGGCAAGTGTTTAGTGGCTTTGAGTGGCTGAAGGCGAAGTGTAAACTGGGATTATTGACGGTTGGTTGGTGGCTTATATGTATTTACGCGATTAGATGTCTGTATTTCTATACTAAAGATGTGCGAGATGTAAATATGTACATATGTTCATGTTTAGGTACATATGTATATTAGGGTGAATCACTAAAAAAAAGTAGCGCATTTTCTACCAGAAAATTAGAATTATTATATAGAAAAAAGGTTTTTTCCACAAATTGGAGGAGAAGCTCGGCCAAACACTAACATATGTATGTGTAGGCGCCAATCTATTATTATTATTACTATTAAAATGTTTTAAGACTTCCCACAAAATATTTCGAAAGATTTACGTAAGTTGACCGATTTAAAAATACCTCCAAATATCTCATTATTTTGATTCCGTTGATAATATTTTAAAATATTTAATTCACCATTAAAGGTGATTTTATAGAGAAAATTTAAACAAAAAAATTAATTTTACTTATAAAAAATAAGAAATATTTTTGCGCCAAAGTCTCAAAATGTAATACAATTAATATTTCGATGGGAAAAAAGTACAGACTTTTTTGTTGTATGAAGAGTGATTCACCCTAATGTATGTACGAATATGCTTCGCAAGTATAAAATCATACTGAAATGCTGTTGAGAGTGCTGATACTTGAATCTTTGAAAAGCGCTTAAGGCAAGGGTTAATTACAGTGTTTCTGCGATGAAGAACTTTTTTAAGATTTACATAGTCGAGTGTTTGCTAATGAAAAAATGTAATGAGAAAATTCTGAGAGCTTGTAAAGAACACAACTAAGCCCGTATTGTCCAATAGCCTGACTCTCCCAGTGTAATCGCAGAGCTCACTGCCATTTCGAATATATGAAATCCTAGGAGCAGTTCATGCAGAATCACATTAAGACCATCCGTAGGGCACGACTTAATTGCTCTTCCAATACCCGCAAAGTTGTATTGCTTGCTCAGCGCTGGCCGCCAGCATACTAATACTCCGTAAGTTAGTATTGGTCTTATAAATGGCTATATCTATAAGAGAAGTTCTGGCTTTAGTCATCAATTTCTAGGCTTTTTCTCGACATATGTTGTTGTTGTTGTTGTAGCGGCACATTCAATCATTGTCGTCAAGCACAACTAACGGAAGGCCCAGGAAACGAGTGGTCGGACCAAAGGGAGAGGGGTGTCAGTTGAGTCGGATTGAGCTGGCATGTGAAGAGGTTGTTGGTGTCATGAGAGGATTCTCCACATGCCGGGCACTTATTGGGGATGTCAAGTCTGGACAAGTAGCTGTTGAGGCGGCTACAGTATCCAGACCGTATTTTAGCCAGTGTAACGCGGGTCTTTCTTGGTAATTGAAGCTCCGTTTCTTCTACGGGTAGTGATTGGGCTCCGATTACGGCATGCATAGGCCGAGAGTGAAGGTAGGTGGTCACTGACTCTCTATGGATGTCGTTGATAGCTCATCTGTATGTCGTCGGGTGCAGTGGTTGCTGGACTGCGTCCTTGTACACGAATAGGTCGGCCGGCCAATTCCCTTGTATGTTGCCAGCAACGTTTCTTTGTCTTTGCCCCAAGTGCTGTCGGCGAGCGACTTGAGGATCTTGTTGCGGCTCTGTACTTTATTGACAACTGCGGTTGTGTGCGTGGAGTAGGACCTAAACCTAACCCTAAAATTTTCGGGTTGTTTACATCTACAGTTGAAGCACTTCGAAAAGTGCAAAAAACTGCAATGCTCTGTATATGCGGGGCTCTACGCACAACTCCATTGCATTGGAGACAATGTGCGTCTTACTCAATATTCTGCCAATCGACGTTGCTGGAAAGCAGTTAGCAGCATGCCCCGCCCTTAGGCTGCGGGAGCTATCCGGCTGGAGAGACACTCAGGAAGGCCACGCTATAATCTTAAATAATATAGATTCGTGTTCGGTACACGAATGGGGCTGGAAAAATCATTTCACCTACCCGAACATGCAGCGTCTTTCAGGCTGAGGTCGCTGCCTTACAGGAGGCGGTTGAACATTTAAGTGCAGCACAATCAGTAAGTAACAATATATTAATCTACTCAGATAGTCAGGCAATTCAAGAACCGTAGCGGTCTGCCGCAAATCTATGAACGCGATGGCTGAGCAACACGTTTTTCACTTGGTATGTGTGCCGGGGCACCAAAATATACCAGGCAATGAAAAGGCTGACGAACTTGCAAGAGAGGGCATATCCGTTCCACTTTCGAAATCCCCAAAGGGTTTAGGCATGCTGCTCGCTACCTGCAGGCTTATTCTAAGGGATTTGTCTCTTAAACAAGCAAAGGACGGGTGGACTAGTCTCACAAATTGCAACAATGCAAAGCTTATGTGGCGA